GAACCAACAAAAATTGCAGCCAAAGGGGATATTTATAAATTTCTTGGTACCGATTCGGGTTTGGTATGGCACTAGTTCAGTCAACCCGAACCGCTAATGGTTGCACCAGTTCAGTAAACTCGAACAGTCACACCATTTCCAAACCATCAGCTATGCTACTATTTGCGGTATTTCGTTGTTATTTTGAGTGCAAACAGTTATTCCTATGAGCCCTTAGCGCTATCGAACCAACCATGCACCAACTTAGAGAAGAACACATTCCAACGTGGGCCGTCTTAAACACTTTGTGGGACCACAATAATTTTTAGTCATAAATAAGTCAGATTTACCTCAGAACCATAATGTTGTTTTAGTGAACTAAAGGAAACATCTAAAAATACGGTGATCTCTAATGTTTTTTTGTTTTATAAATAGAAGCAATGTCAAAACCAATACAAAATTTTGGAATTCATGTCTCAAAAAAATGAGAAAACCTAATCAGAGGGCCATCGGTCTTATCCAGCTGGAAACTCTCCTACTCTGTGCCAACAACCTTTGACATGATTGAAATCTTCCATAACAATTTTTAATAATTTTCGTTTCTCAAATTGACCCGAACGAACGGAGAGGAGAAGAAAGGATGTCGCTAGTTAATGCGTTTGAATTGTACACGTCGTCCTTTCTCTTACCATATGGAGCGGCAAATAAATGAAGGAAAAAATAAGAAACAGTGTGAGAATCTATACCGATTCCAAAACCCTTCCTGCAAGACAACCGTTACATAAAACCCTAAATCAAGACATATCACCTGTTCATGATTTGACCGATGGTTCTACAATTGGAGCCCTAATTGAATTACATCTCACATTTTCGACTTCAAATGGGCAGATTCAGATGGTTGGCAATAAGCTCCAAGCCTTTGTTGCTAAATTGGATGATAAATTTAAGAATCATTTGTATTTATCTGATTAGTTTCCAGAAAATGTTTAATTTATTAGTTAAATTAGTATTTATCTGATTTTCAAGAAGAGATGGGCCAACTCATGTAGATTAAGGTGCAAACCAGGCACAAAAACTGAATTAAAAAGGGTGCAAACTCACCCACACCACATTAATGCCAAAAAATGGCGTGTTGCTAGACATTAAAAAGAACTCAGTTTCAGCAGTTTCAGACCAAAAAAGAAAGTTTACATCACATTAACTGAATAAAAAAGGCCACAAAACTGAATTAAAAAGGGTGCAAACTCACCCACACCACATTAACAAAAAAAGGCGTGTTGCTAGACATTAAAAAGAACTCAGTTTTAGCAGTTTCAGACCACAAAAGAACACCACCACCACGATATCAAGGAGTTAAAGAGATTTATTGCCGGGAGCTAAAAAGACTTTTATTTGTTGCCAGGAGGAGCTTCCGGAGGGGGAGGGGCACCACTGGAGCCTCTGGAGGAGTGGACGGCACTGGAGCCTCTGGGCACCGGCAAAGCTATGTACTCTAATATTTGAGTACCTACGTGAAGAAATACCCATATGAACCAGAGGACAAGCGAGGTTGTAGCAATCTCAACGCTTGTTTCAGCAACCCCAAAGCTTCAGCAACCCCCAGCTTCTTAATTTCCAGGAAGCATCCTTGCCAATATTGGCCATCTGCATATATATCTTGGTCGCCTCCTTTTTATCTTGTCCGCCTCCTTTTTTATCTTGTCCTCACCTGGATCTTTTTGGCCAGATCTTGGATCGTCACCTCATCTGCCGGCAGCAGACTAGCATGAACCCTAATAGAAAAAAAACAAAAAAAATATATCAAACCTCTCAAAGAAGAGGGGGAACTAAAGACATCTCAAAACCGACTACTAACACCGACCTGCCAAAGATATAACTTGTGGATTTGCATGTTGAACTTCAGATCCTTCATCTCTCACTAAACCCATTCTCTTTATGAAATATAAACGGAAACGCCAATTGACATGATCATATCGCTGGCATCCACGCTCATTAGCCAATAGTACTAAATACAAAATTTGCCTATTCCGAGAACCATTTTAAGTATCTAAAAAAACTCTACAAACCACAATTTAAAACTTGTAACCGAACTTTTTCCACTAATTTGTATATACTAAAAAAAGAAAGCATCAAATTCCAGCCAAGAAAATGAAAGAAATTAGAGTTAAACGAATTCAATATGGGTCTGTAGTAACTGTAGCTTTTGATAACATCTCACGCACTCAAGTATAAATGTTAAAGCACCATGTGTCCATAACTTCTTTTTTTTTTAATAAAAAATGAATAAAAGCTTAATTATTATCGTGTTTATGGGGTTCTTACATTTGTTCACATGGATGTGTGCTTGCAGTTTGGCCATCTGATCACACTTGAGAACTCATTTAAAGGATAAAGTAAAAAATGCCTTTAACTTTAAGATAATTTGTAATATGAAATTAAAGTAACTTGTTATAATGGTACAAATATTAATCTATCTATTCTATGAAAAACAACAATTAATGAAGTGTTTATCCAATACATGAGGGAAAAAATAAAAGTTTAGTATTAAGATGTGACAATAATATAAAAATTAAAATGCATTAGAAAACACGTACCTTCGTAAATTTTGCCCATACCACCCAATCCAATGAACTCCTTTTCTGCTATTGAAATTTTTTGTCTTACCTAAATTGTAAAGATCCACGGAATAAAATATTTAAAAACTTGATATTAATACTTATAATTAACTATTTACTAATAATAGCTTATGATAGCATAAAATCGGAATATTGATATGTAACAACAATAAACGTAGTGAGAATTAACAAGATCAGTCCCAAAAACACAGTGTGTGTGTGTATATATATATAATTAGGAAGGGAAAGAAGAGCTTACTGTTGCCATGCAGAAAGTATGAACAAAGTGTACAACTCCACAATGGAAGACACAAACCAGGGCCGGGGGCCTAATTCTCTTTCTAGGCTTCGTTTGGATACAGGAGAGAAAAGAAAGGAAATGATTATAAAAGAAAAGAAAAGAAAGGAAATGATAGATATAATAATATTCATATTTGGATGGATAGGAGAGAACAGAAAGGAATAGATAATATTCTTGTTTAGATGGATAGAAAAGAAAAGAAAGGAATGAATAATTTACCATTTTACCCTTCTCTCAACCAAGCTTACCCCTTCTCTCAAGGTTGCTTTTGTAATTTGCTCCATTTCTGTCCAAATCCCTCCAAATCTTGTCAATTTTGGAGAGACCAGGATCACCTCCACTCCCACAGTGCCTCATTTCCTCCATTTTGGGTCAATGAACAGTGTTAACCATGTTTGGGTAAAAAATATATTTTTGGAATACATAATTTTGGTGTATATATATAGATATGTATATGCTATTGAAGAATACCCTTTTTGTTCCCTCCTTTATTTCTTCTTCCTCTTCCCTCCCTCATTTCAGGCGACATTTGAAACACAAATAAAATCCCGCCCTAGCCTTCGTCTCTCCCAAAATATGAATGAAGCCATTTTAGAAATTTATTTCTTTCCAAATAGAATCCATAAGCAGCGATTATTGTGTAAATCAACCCAAAATTTGGATGCTACAAATTGTTTCCAAATAGAAGCAGCACTTCTGTTAGTCGCAATGAAATTGCAGATTCTGATTTCCTTCCAAAAAGAAGCAGCAGTGTATTTTCAAAGCTAAGTGGGAGTGTATTTCCAAATCGAAGTAGGAAATCACTTTATTTCCAACCCTAAGCAGGTACGATTCATAATTTTGAGATTTGATTTTGAAGGAAATCATCTTGTTTCCATAAACACTAAATTGCAGAAACAAATATATATAGACACAATTTTGGTAAGAAACCCAAAAATAGAAAAGTATTGGTGAATTTGAATTAATCGCTATTTTATTGTGCAATTATTAGGGGTTTTAATATTTGTTTGTGAGGATAAAAAATGAGAGGATTTGTAGGGTACATAACTAGTCGGAAAAGAGTGTTTCATAGTGTTACAATGTTAAGAAAATGTTTGGTCATTGGGCTTGCATCGCAACATTTTCCTAAGTTGCATCCCAACTTTTTCCTAACAAGCATCCCAAATTCTTCCTTATCTACTTCCAATATTTTTATAAAGTGAGTCACAACATTTTCCTAACGTACATCCCAAAACCTAAAAATAGAAAATTATTGGCGAATTTGAATTGATCGCTATTTTATTATGCAGTTATTAGGGGTTTTAATGTTTGTTTGTGAGGATAAAAAATGAGAGGATTTGTAGGGTACATGACTGGCCAGAAAAGAGTGTTTCGAAGTGTTACAATGTTAAGAAAATATTTGGTCATTGCCATTGCATCGCAAAGCATTCCAAATTATTCCTTATCTACATTCCAATATTTTTGTAAAGTGAGTCATAACATTTTTCTAACGTATAAATCCATAAGTATTTGTAAAGTATATCCCAGAATTTTCCTAATGTGAATCCCAAAGGTTTCGTAAATCACATCCTAACTTCTTGAAAAAGTACATCCCAAATTTTTCCTAAGATGAGTTCTAACTATTTCGTAAGGTGAATCCCAACTGTTTGGTAATGTAAATCCCAAATTTTGCGTAATATTAATCCCAACATTTTTAGAAAGTGTATGTGAAATTTGCATCAGTTGGTTTGACATATATGTTATGTTGTGGCAACGACGATTTTTATCGTCGTTTGTCTGAGATATACTTGATTGATACATGCAAAGAAATAAAGTGAATGAGATATATGTCAAATTTAATTTCTCATACACGTGAAAAGGTTTTTTATTTGATTGGTCGTACATGTGAAAAGGTTTTGTATTTGAGTCATTGAGATGGAACATACTTGGGATGTAGAAGTAAAATAATTTTTTGTTAATTTAATATTTTGTGCATATGTAAGAAAAGGTTTTGTATTTGAGGTGTTCAGATGGAAGGTGAAGTAAATAATATCCAAGACACAACAAACGGACAAAACGTTCCTGTTGTATAACCGGAGGTGATTAAATGGAAACCAAGGTATAAAATGGAGTTTGATAGTGAGGAAGAGACATATGATTTTTACAATGCATATGGTGGTCGAATTGATTTTATCATCCTGAAGGAGTATGGCAATAAAGTTAATGGAAGAATTATATCAAGGGCATTAGTTTGTAGCAAGGAAGGTTTAAAGGGGACTAACAAACGAGATGTATTTAGAAAGACTCCCTGGGTTGAAACACGAACCAATTGCTGTGCACGAATGGTTATTAGATATGACAAGACAAAGGCAAAGTACATAGTTTCTAAATTTGTAGAAAGTCATAACCATCCATTTATAATTGTTTAATGCAGCCACATGATGCCGTCCCAGCGACGAATTTCCTCAGTCCAGGCCATCGATGTTGAGTTGGTTTCGGATTCAGGAGTTCCGGCTTGTAATGCATATGAGTTGATGGGAAGGCAGACTGGTGGCAAAGAATCAGTTGGGCACTTGAAAGTGGATCTAAAAAATTATCTAAGGACGCGAAGACAAAAGGAGTTTCTTTATGGAAAGGCGGTATGGCTTGTGAATTATTTTAAGACACGTGGTTGTGAAGATCCTTCGTTCTTCTATTCCTTGCAACTGGATACTGAGCAAATGATTACGAACATATTCTGGTTAGATTGTAAAATGATCATTGATTATAGCCAGTTTGGAGATGTTATCAGTTTCGACACAACGTATAAAGTGGTACACGATAACAGACCATTTGCAATTTTCTTAGGTATGAATCATCACCGGGAGACTGTTATGTTTGGAGCAGCCTTAATGTATGATGAGACAGCGGATTCGTTTGTCTGGTTATTTGAAACGTTCTTAAAAGTGATGGGCGGAAAAATGCCAAAGACGATTATTACAGATCAAGACGCTGCAATAGCGAAGGCATTAAAGCAGGTGAATAACTTTCATGCATCTCCACTCTTGTATTATTTCATGCTGAAAGAATCGTCTTATTTCAGTCATATTTTTTAGATTTGCATGTTTGTAACACGGGTATTAAGTTAATTAATCGTGCAGGTCATATCGGTGACGAAGCATCATTTATGTGTTTGGCACTTAATGAATAATGCGCAGAAGAACATACTATTTATATATATATGCGTTAAAGGAATAAAGAATGTCATCTCAAAATTAATGTTCCAAATTGAGGAGGAGGATTATTTTATCAGGGAATGGGATTTAATGATTGCAGAGTATGCCGTTGCTAGTAATAAGTGGTTTTCCACTTTGTTAGATTTGAGACATAAATGGGCCCTGTCATTTGTCAAACACGAATGGTCTGCAGGAATGAGTAGCACGCAATTGAGTGACAACTTCAATGGTCAATTGAAGTATTACCTTTCTAGACAACTTATTCTACTAGAATTCTTTACACACTTTGACAGATTGTTATCTAACAAGCGGTACAAGGAGTGTGAAGCCGAGTATGGCTTGGTGGAGAGGCAATCGGAACTAAAAACAAAGTGCCATATATTACGTCAAGTGGGGAAGATGTACACCAAGGCAATATTTCAGCTTTTCCAGGAGGAGTTTTTAGCTGCTCTTGCGAGTCAAGCTGTTATTAGTTGCAGTGACTTGGATAACAATGGACACCATGTTTATAAAGTTCCTGGTGAGGATGGGGTGCAACATCATTGTGAGTAGGACATTTGAAGATGAATTGTCATGCTCATGTTGTAAATTTGAAAGAGAGGGCTATTTGTGCAGGCACAGTCTGAAAATCCTTAAAGACTGCATGATTGTGAATGAGTTGTCTTCCCGATATATAATAAAAAGGTGGACTAGAAATGCTAGAGATGGCAGGTTGGAGGAAATTGTTTCCACCGACGTAAATCTGGATCCTCAACTTGAGATTAGGCGACAGCATAGGATGCTTTGCCATATTCTGACTGAAATATCTTTTATTACATCGCACGACCCCGAAGGATATAATAATCTATTAGAAAAAGCACTGGATTGGAAAAGAACAGTACAAATAACTTGTGGTCATAGGTTTGCAGAGAATTTGCAAGGGGTAAGGGAAAAAAATGGTGAAAAGCAACAGTGGAACAATTCTCATGTCCCTGAAAGTTAAAGATACCTCTAAAGGACGATTTAAGAGGCTGAAACCAACCATAGAGTTAAATAGTGGGAAAAGGAGGAAGTCAACGAAAGCAACAGGCCAGGTATACGTTACTATCGCACGCACTACTATTTCATTGTTTAACTATTTGAACATGCGAATAAAATAAATGAGATTTCATAACATTATATCCTTCGTCATAAAACACCCGTGAGTGGAAGAAACTACCATTTTCTATGTTTTAGATATCAAATGAAACCGTTGTTTTGGGAGACGCCGGTGGCAGTGATAGTCCGTTAACCCCGTCCTATGTGTTAGTGAATATGAGTATTATTGCGAGTATATTATATATAAGCAGTTACTGTTCATTCATGACTGTTGGTTAATATGTTGATTATATTTAAAAGTGCATTGACAGTATTTATATGAAATATTTTAGGGTGCAAAAGTTCCTGTCGAATTTCTCAATGAAGAATCTTACGTAACACCACCGGCTATATTCCACAATAGATTGCTTAATATTGGTGAACCATGTACTTCATCAACTAACCATGTAAATGTGTTAATTAAAATGCATTATTTTCTTTGTTTTTCCAAAATGGACCAAATTTTTTTTACATCTAAACAATATATTACAAAGGTCACATGGGACATATCCCACACCAAACTCTGCCCAGACTGGGCAACATCAGAAAAAGTCACACTAAAACCTAATGCAAAACACTGATGTAGATCAGTTGGAATATTATCCATTTTCCGTTGACCTGCAGCAATAAAATCCCTAAAAACTCTTGATCAAAAACTATATGTGAAAAAAAAAAAAAAAAAAAAAAAAAAATTGACATCATTTTACCATCACACCAAGGATGAAGAAAAATGTTAATGTCAGTTCCTTTTTCGAATAACATACTTATAGTTGATCTTCATAAAGTCCCCCAAATAACATCAACATTTTTCACATACAGTTATAAAAGAATCCGAAACCTTTGGAATGACCTGCCAAAAGGATGTATTCCTTAGGTAACATGAACAATGTTTATACCTAACCACCAAAATCCTATCTTTGGACAGTAAATAATTCGAAACTAATACACAGTTTTCAAGTAAATCAATATCCAAAACTTTTGTCACCCCCAAACCACCTTCTTCTTTAAGAGCAGCAAGCTTCATTCGTTTTAAATTCCTCGTATCTTTATAATATCTTCATCATGCGCCAAAATGAAGTTCCTCATTGTCTTTCATATGGCCATAATCATGTATAAAATTCCCTGCCGCATCCTGAATCATAGTGATATTGGTTCTAGCCGTATGCACTTTAATTTGCTAATGCAAAAACCTTCTACACTTGTCTCTGTTCTTCATCCATCTAATTCTTATCTTGTGAGACAAAAGAATTGTTTGATTAGAGCTAGCACATTCAAATTTTCGTCTAATATCCTACTCCTCAATGAAAACATCATTCATAGGATTCTCAGCTAAACTCAATTTCACTTGCTCAAGGGACTTCCTAATACCAATAATCTCCTCAAAAATAAATCCAAACTTTACAAAAATTCCAATTTTTTACAGCCCTTTTAGCTAATGTAAAATAGTACAACAGCTTCTGGATTGGATTCCCACCCATGACTATTAATCAGAGATAATGTTGCCAACCACTGCCTGTTTATTCCAAACCAACAAAAATCCGAAAGACTTTGGACCTTCACCAATGTGCAAAGGAATTTTCACTTTAACTCCCCTATGATCTAAAATGAATGTTGTGGAGTAAGAATAAAATGTGAACTTGGAAATACATTATCCTAATCCTGGTTCATAAGACCTTGATACAGCATTGTATAAACTTTTCTCTGACTAAACCATTTAGTACCCCATGTAAATTATCTATTATCCACTGGAATATTGGATAAACAAAACTGATCAATGGTGTGCTTAAAATCATATAGCAGTGAATTATGGAAGTTGCCTAAGGCCTCCTTTTGTCCTACCTTAATATGTATTGTCAACAATATAAATGTTTCAGGCTGATATTGGCGATCCAACCATGTTGTCATCTTAACTATTCAGTACACTCTCTTCATATGATGAATCAAGTGTTCATCGTATGGGAGGTGATAAGGTAATCATTTATTCCTTCTCCATTAATGTTTTTGTCATTGTTCTCATTATAAATGTGATGATAGATAACAGTTTACAAAAAAAATTTGGATTACATTTGTTGTCGTTGTGGTTAATTGCAGACACCTAGGCAAGCAAATGTGACTCCAACATCTGGAATGGTAATGACGTTGGGGATGAATCATCCAATTCAGCATCAACTCTTTGAATATTGAGAAGAAACTTGTCATGTAATTGACTTTTCATTGATTGTGTGTATCCTTGTAACCTTTTGGACTTCTTGTATAAAGTTTACGGCCTACTTCGGCTACCCTTGTTACCTTTAGCTGTCATGTAATTGACCTTGTATTCATTGTGTACATGCTTGTAACTTTTTTCCACATGTTGAGTATCACCATGTTTTGTAAATTAACTGTTTGTACATTACAAAATGTATGTCTTATTTTGGGTATGACCATGTTTTGGAAGCAAGAAATATATATGAGAATCACTGTCAAATTGGATAGACTGTTTGTTCAGAAATATTAATGTAACCCAAGCTACTTAAAGCATAAAAAATGTACAAATGGAACACTGAGACCAACAATGGACTCTTGGCTTAGGCGTTGGCAAATGTTGACCCTTTGTCCTGGGTTCGAGTCTCAATATGAATGAGTGGCAATGTCGGAAAAGAGGTATTCTAAAATACCTCCTTTTTCATCTTTTTTTTTTTTTTAGGGCCTGTTGTACAAAACATTCCTACGTTGTTTTACCTACATGGATCAAAGACATCAATCAATATAGTATGTAAATATAATCCCAACACAATAATAAATGTGTAGTGGGGCACTTGAATATTAATTCATGAATCAGAAATATTAATGTAACTCAAGCTACTTAAAGCATAAAAAATGTACCAATGAAACATTGACACCAACAATGTACATTTTTACACCATCTGAACTTTGTTTTTTGAATGTTACTATTACAGTTATTATACGACATTATTATTTTATATATTCCAAAAAAATCCTAACACATAAATGTGATGGACGGAAACTGTAGGTTACTGTTAAACTAACAAATTCCACCATTTCAGCAAATAAGTGACTTATTTCCGAAATATCAAATAACTCACATATGTCAATATAACTGTACAAACATATCATGCATCTGTCCCATATTAGTAGTCCACTATCTCATGTTTAACTTTTCCTAAATAGTTGTCCACCTTGAAAAGTGAAACCAAATAATCCAATCATTTACCATAATTGGTAAATGCATATTTCCACAAATACATAATATAATACTTTACAACAATTGCCAAATGACAGAAATTTCAAATAATCCAATCCATTCATTACCTAGGCTAACCTACCAGACTAGGAACCACATATAGAGTTCATGCATATAACCCAAAATCGTATCTTTGTTTTAGAAATTATCTTTTCGAAGCAGTACCATAAAATTAGAGGAACTGGATATGGATTAAGTCAAATACATCAACATTGCTTACTGAATTTTTTAATAACTGTTGCTTTTACTAATACATCATTGTATCCCAAATGTCTAAAACTGTCACCAAAGCCGTTGATCCTCCATCGACACTACCTGTAAAAACGTTTTCTCCATTTTACTGTCAACCTTAACTTATATAAATTAAGAAGTACTATCATAGATACACCAACCCAATTTGGATTGGGAAAGAAAGTAAGGGGTAAGGTATTTCATACTTCATCGCCATTCCACAGGGACATCATTATAATAATATATGACATATGGAACTGCACAAGTTTGAATCCCCCATTACAAAACCTGAGACGACAATTGCGGGCCGAAATTTGGATCAATATTTTTCAAAGACGGACATCATTATAATCATGCATCAATCATGTAATACTCCACAGACCGTGCTTTAATCATCCCCAAATTCATAGTCGTCTGTCCATTATCATTCTCCATAGCAATAATTTCATCAAAATTTCTATATTGTTTCAGCTTACTATAAAAATACCCAGTACTTCTATCATTATCTTTCAACCAACGTACACGAGATTTCTGGGCTATAAGAAATTCTTCATCACTGACAGCAGAGTGATAAGCCAATTGTAATACCCCTAATTTTAAAAGGGATAGTCTCGGCATTTATTTATTATTTTTATTGTATTTTTGCGTGATTATTTGGTTTAATTATTTTTATTTATCAATTTTATGTGACATGTATTTAGTTGGCATTTATTGTTTAAGTGTTTTAATTTTTTAATTATGAATTTTGTTTTCGTTAATTGTTTCTTCTTTTCTTTAATTGGGTTGTGTATTTAGTTATATGTGTTTTTTTTGTAATTGGATTAGTTGGTCATTCTAATGTGTAAATTGGTTTATTTAAATATTTTAATTAGAGTAAATTATAGTTTAAATTAGTATCAGTTACAGTATTAAAATAAATTACTAACTGGTCTAATTTTAAACAATAGGGTTCCCTAAGAGG